GGAGAGAACTTTTTTAAGTGGGCTAACTCTATTAGCCCATTGCGAACCCACTTAAAAAAACCAAACCTTTCTCTCTCTTGTGCGTAGAGGAACAGAGAAGGCGTTGCGGCGCGACAAACACACTCCCACCGCCATCTTCGACGGACACACAACTATGCCACCACATATTCACGTCTTCACCTCGCACTCAACCAACTGTCACTTCGACGCGCGAGCGGATAGAATGTGATTCTTGTCTTGATGACGCTTCTCCGTCCTCCGACGGTGTCATCTCAAATAAAAGATCTTCAACTCCAATCCCACCTCAACGATGCTTGTTGCAGCGTTGTCGAAGGGCATGCGAATCTCCGCCCCTGTTGTTATCCACGGACGACGGTCGTTATTTGTGTTGTCTGTCGGCATGGCTCCATATACATTGTTGGCGGCAATATCGTCTTCTGCAACAACCTCTTCTCTCAAGCCTCCACCGGCAAGATGGTCGGTTTATCACGCTGCAGGTGGAAATGAGATTAAGTAGGACTAACCGGCCCATCCCACTTAAACTGCTTTAGTTGGCTCCTATTGGACAGAACTTTTTTAGGTGGGCTAACTCTATTAGCCCATTGCAAACCCACTTAACCAACCAAACCTTTCTCTCTCTTGTGCGTAGAGGAACAGAGAAGGCGTTGCGGCGCGACAAACACACTCCCACCGCCATCTTCGACGGACACACAACTATGCCGCCACATATTCACGTCTTCACCTCGCACTCAACCAACTGTCACTTCGACGCGCGAGCGGATGAAATGTGATTCTTGTCTTGATGACACTTCTCCCTCCTCCGACGGTGTCATCTCAAATAAAAGATCTTCAACTCCAATCCCACCTCAACGACGCTTGTTGGGGCTTTGTCGAAGGGCATGCGAGTCTCCGCCCCTGTTATTATCCACGGACGACGGTCGTTATTTGTGTTGTCTGTCGGCATGGTTCCATATATATTGTTGGCGGCAATATCGTCTTCTGCAACAACTTCTTCTCTCAAGCCTCCACGGGCAAGATGGTTGGTTTATCACGCTGCGGGTAGAAATGAGATTAAGTGGGACTAACCGGCCCATCCCACTTAAACTGCTTTAGTTGGCTCCTATTGGAGAGAACTTTTTTAAGTGGGCTAACTCTATTAGCCCATTGCGAACCCACTTAACCAACCAAACCTTTCTCTCTCTTGTGCGTAGAGGAACAGAGAAGGCGTTGCGGCGCGGCAAACACACTCCCACCGCCATCACCGACGGACACACAACTATGCCGCAACATATTCACGTCTTCACCTCGCACTCAACCAACTGTCACTTCGACGCGCGAGCGGATAGAATGTGATTCTTGTCTTGATGACGCTTCTCCCTCCTCCGACGGTGTCATATCAAGCAAAAGATCTTCAACTCCAATCCCACCTCAACGAAGCTTGTTGCGGCGTTGTCGAAGGGCATGCGAGTTTCCGCCCCTGTTGTTATCCACGGACGAGGGTCGTTATTTGTGTTGTCTGTCGGCATGGCTCCATATACATTGTTGGCGGCAATATCGTCTTCTGCAACAACCTCTTCTCTCAAGCCTCCACGGGCAAGATGGTCGGTTTATCACGCTGCAGGTGGAGGTGGGGTAAAGTGGGACTAACCGGCCCATCCCACTTAAACTGCTTTAGTTGGCTCCTATTGGACAGAACTTTTTTAAGTGGGCTAACCCTATTAGCCCATTGCGAACCCACTTAACCAACCAAACCTTTCTCTCTCTTGTGCGTAGAGGAACAGAGAAGGCGTTGCGGCGCGGCAAACACACTCCCACCGCCATCGCCGACGGACACACAACTATGCCGCCACATATTCACGTCTTCACCTCGCACTCAACCAACTGTCACTTCGACGCACGAGCGGATAGAATGTGATTCTTGTCTTGATGACGCTTCTCCCTCCTCCGACGGTGTCATCTCAAGCAAAAGATCTTCAACTCCAATCCCACCTCAACGAAGCTTGTTGCGGCGTTGTCGAAGGGCATGCGAGTTTCCGCCCCTGTTGTTATCCACGGACGAGGGTCGTTATTTGTGTTGTCTGTCGGCATGGCTCCATATACATTGTTGGCGGCAATATCGTCTTCTGCAACAACCTCTTCTCTCAAGCCTCCACGGGCAAGATGGTCGGTTTATCACGCTGCAGGTGGAGGTGGGGTAAAGTGGGACTAACCGGCCCATCCCACTTAAACTGCTTTAGTTGGCTCCTATTGGAGAGAACTTTTTTAAGTGGGCTAACTCTATTAGCCCATTGCGAACCCACTTAACCAACCAAACCTTTCTCTCTCTTGTGCGTAGAGGAACAGAGAAGGCGTTGCGGCGCGGCAAACACACTCCCACCGCCATCACCGACGGACACACAACTATGCCGCAACATATTCACGTCTTCACCTCGCACTCAACCAACTGTCACTTCGACGCGCGAGCGGATAGAATGTGATTCTTGTCTTGATGACGCTTCTCCCTCCTCCGACGGTGTCATATCAAGCAAAAGATCTTCAACTCCAATCCCACCTCAACGAAGCTTGTTGCGGCGTTGTCGAAGGGCATGCGAGTTTCCGCCCCTGTTGTTATCCACGGACGAGGGTCGTTATTTGTGTTGTCTGTCGGCATGGCTCCATATACATTGTTGGCGGCAATATCGTCTTCTGCAACAACCTCTTCTCTCAAGCCTCCACGGGCAAGATGGTCGGTTTATCACGCTGCAGGTGGAGGTGGGGTAAAGTGGGACTAACCGGCCCATCCCACTTAAACTGCTTTAGTTGGCTCCTATTGGACAGAACTTTTTTAAGTGGGCTAACCCTATTAGCCCATTGCGAACCCACTTAACCAACCAAACCTTTCTCTCTCTTGTGCGTAGAGGAACAGAGAAGGCGTTGCGGCGCGGCAAACACACTCCCACCGCCATCGCCGACGGACACACAACTATGCCGCCACATATTCACGTCTTCACCTCGCACTCAACCAACTGTCACTTCGACGCACGAGCGGATAGAATGTGATTCTTGTCTTGATGACGCTTCTCCCTCCTCCGACGGTGTCATCTCAAGCAAAAGATCTTCAACTCCAATCCCACCTCAACGAAGCTTGTTGCGGCGTTGTCGAAGGGCATGCGAGTTTCCGCCCCTGTTGTTATCCACGGACGAGGGTCGTTATTTGTGTTGTCTGTCGGCATGGCTCCATATACATTGTTGGCGGCAATATCGTCTTCTGCAACAACCTCTTCTCTCAAGCCTCCACGGGCAAGATGGTCGGTTTATCACGCTGCAGGTGGAGGTGGGGTAAAGTGGGACTAACCGGCCCATCCCACTTAAACTGCTTTAGTTGGCTCCTATTGGAGAGAACTTTTTTAAGTGGGCTAACCCTATTAGCCCATTGCGAACCCACTTAACCAACCAAACCTTTCTCTCTCTTGTGCGTAGAGGAACAGAGAAGGCGTTGCGGCGCGGCAAACACACTCCCACCGCCATCGCCGACGGACACACAACTATGCCGCCACATATTCACGTCTTCACCTTGCACTCAACCAACTGTCACTTCGACGCGCGAGCGGATAGAATGTGATTCTTGTCTTGATGACGCTTCTCCCTCCTCCGACGGTGTCATCTCAAGCAAAAGATCTTCAACTCCAATCCCACCTCAACGACGCTTGTTGCGGCGTTGTCGAAGGGCATGCGAGTTTCCGCCCCTGTTGTTATCCACGGACGAGGGTCGTTATTTGTGTTGTCTGTCGGCATGGCTCCATATACATTGTTGGCGGCGATATCGTCTTTTGCAACAACCTCTTCTCTCAAGCCTCCACGGGCAAGATGGTCGGTTTATCACGCTGCAGGTGGAGGTGGGGTAAAGTGGGACTAACCGGCCCATCCCACTTAAACTTCTTTAGTTGGCTCCTATTGGACAAAACTTTTTTAAGTGGGCTAACCCTATTTGCCCATTGCGAACCCACTTAACCAACCAAACCTTTCTCTCTCTTGTGCGTAGAGGAACAGAGAAGGCGTTGCGGCGCGGCAAACACACTCCCACCGCCATCGCCAACGGACACACAACTATGCCGCCACATATTCACGTCTTCACCTCGCACTCAACCAACTGTCACTTCGACGCGCGAGCGGATAGAATGTGATTCTTGTCTTGATGACGCTTCTCCCTCCTCCGACGGTGTCATCTCAAGCAAAAGATCTTCAACTCCAATCCCACCTCAACGAAGCTTGTTGCGGCGTTGTCGAAGGGCATGCGAGTTTCCGCCCCTGTTGTTATCCACGGACGAGGGTCGTTATTTGTGTTGTCTGTCGGCATGGCTCCATATACATTGTTGGCGGCAATATCGTCTTCTGCAACAACCTCTTCTCTCAAGCCTCCACGGGCAAGATGGTCGGTTTATCACGCTGCAGGTGGAGGTGGGGTAAAGTGGGACTAACCGGCCCATCCCACTTAAACTGCTTTAGTTGGCTCCTATCGGACAGAACTTTTTTAAGTGGGCTAACCCTATTAGCCCATTGCGAACCCACTTAACCAACCAAACCTTTCTCTCTCTTGTGCGTAGAGGAACAGA